ACAAACCAATCAACACGTGAGTACGCCTCCTAGCAAGACTCTCAAGACTCTTTTACTGAACGTTTCACGATAGCTCGCTTTATTTATGTGACAATAAATTCCATACCGAGGCATTGGCCGAACTGCTCGAGTCGGATTCCAAGTTTGGCTTCATCGTGATGGACGGTAACGGAACTCTTTTCGGAACCTTGGCAGGGAATACGCGTGAGGTCGTCCACAGATTCACGGTCGATCTGCCAAAGAAGCACGGACGAGGTGGACAGTCGGCTCTTCGTTTCTCTCGTCTTCGTGACGAAAAGCGCCACAACTATGTCCGCAAAGTCGCCGAACTTGCTGTCCAGCACTTTATTACGAATGATAAAGTGAATGTGGCTGGTTTGGTTCTTGCTGGATCTGCCGATTTCAAGACTGAGCTCAACCAAAGTGACATCTTTGACCCCAGGCTGGCTGCCAAGGTCATCAAAGTCGTGGACGTCAGTTATGGTGGAGAAAATGGATTCAACCAGGCTATCGAACTCGCCGCTGAGTCTCTCTCAAACGTCAAATTTGTGCAAGAGAAGAAGCTGATTCAGAAATACTTTGACGAGATCAGCCAAGACTCTGGAAAATACTGCTTTGGTGTTGAAGATACGCTCAAGGCGTTGGAAATGGGAGCTGTCGAAACCCTCATTGTATGGGAAAACATGGACATTACCAGATACATATTGAGAAACGCAGCTGGTGGTGAGTACATTTATCAAGATTACTGAGATCACTTGCTCATTTCAAACTAGACGAGGTGATCATCTATGCGAACAAGGAGCAAGAGAAGGATCGCGAAAAGTTCATTGACAAGTCTACCGGCCAGTAAATGGAGACTGTCGGTGAGCCTCAGAGCTTGCTCGAATGGTTCACCGAAAAATATCAAGATTTTGGTGCCCAGCTCGAGGTATGTGATCGGTCTAGTGTCATGGACGAATTACTGAACTGCATTCCAGTTTGTGACCAACAAATCTCAAGAGGGAGCTCAATTCGTCAAAGGCTTTGGTGGAATTGGAGGTCTATTGAGATACAAGGTCGATCTTGCCAATATAACTGCCTACGATGAAGACTCGGACGAGTTCCTCAGTGATGATGATGACAACTACGTCTGACGGTTAGGGTCATCGACTAACCAGATTGGGGGTGGGGCCAGGAAGGTGAGGGAGAAGGTGGGGGAGGGAGAGAGGAGGGTGGACGGTAGAGGCGGACGCGTGGTTCCGGTGGAGGATGGATCAAGTGGCTACGGTGGAGGAGGAAGCAGGCCATCCAAGCTGTCTACATTAGCAGCAGCAGCTTCTTCTTCTGCCATCTTGGTAGAGGTCGTTCAAGTCCAGGTCAGAGAACCTTTGGGTTTCTCCGGTCCTCATGTCCCGTCAAACATTCCCTTGGGACAGGGTGAGAGGTCTGTACGCGGACAGTTCCAGCCCGTACACGTTGGACGCTCGTTCTAAACTACAAATGGTACGTGCAATGCCTTCTTCCCGCGGTCTTACGAGTTTTGACCCGTGACTTATAGTGCATTCCGATTTAGTTAGCACCTTTGTCGGGTCGACCATCAAACTTGTGACATGTTTCACGGAGTTAGGGGTCCTCTTGATGGTCAAACCTTGAATCACGATAAAGATAGTTGTTTATATCTATTCAAATTTCTCATTTCTCATAAAAATAGTTTCGGATTATACAAGGCAAAAAGTGGCGAATCAGATATCCCAATCGTCATCATCGAGGTCCTTTCTTCGTTGAAACTATTATCGATGGGATGGTAAGAATAGCAGTATATAATAGAGAAAGGAGGAGTACAAACCACGATGGCGCCTTTCTTTGCGGTGGTAGGACTGGATGCCCCATCGGCTTGATCCAAGAGACCGATGAGCTGGTTCTCTGATACTCGTCCGCGTAATTGGCCGGTCTGTGCCATCCGCACCAGGATGGTTTCAACCTGAGTGCTGAGCTGTGGATTGACTAGTGCAATGCGGTTTACTGGTGAATACAGGGCACAAGCACAAATTAATGTAAGAGAGTGTCAAGATAATCGGAGGTGGGGTAGAGTGTATGGCGTACATCGCTCGCGTGCATCCTGGTCAAGTATGGTGGCAATCATTTCCCGTTTCATTTGAGCCTCTTGTTCAGCCTTTTGAGCCTTTGCAGAGGTCTCGTCGGCATTCGAGTTTCCTTGGGATTGCTGTGGGGTTAGCTTGGAGATGTCCATCTGTGCGACTTATGGGGTTGGTGGTCAACAAGGGCGTCCAAAGAGACGCTCGCAGTAGGCAAGTAAAACTACAAGCGCCAGTTTAGCTGTGAACACGACATGATACTAGATTTAAGCGCATAGATACACAGGTCTACGTATTAGTGCTACACCGTCGATGCGGGTTTGAACGGTGGGTCGATCCAGACGGCTTCTCTGTAGGTCCGCTGCTCACCGTCCTGCATCTGGACCGTGTTTTGGCGGGCTACGGAGGGCGAGTTGTATTTTGCGGCGAGTCGTTCGACGAGGAGGGGGTCGAGGCGGTATTGCTTGGCGAGCTGCTCGGCCGTTTTCGCGTCGTGGGCGTGCTTGCGCTGGTCCAGGAGATCAGAGAGCGCGAATGCGTCTATGGTGTTGGATGTGGGCGTGTCGGTCTCTGAGAGGGCTCTCGTTCGAACGACATGGGTCATCTCCTGGGACTAGAAGGCGATTGAATGTTAGCAACATACACAGATCAAAAAGAAGGCTCAAGGGCGTACCTTTTGGATGTAGGCAGGAGAGCCGACCTGGACCTGGCCGAGGAGGCGCAGGTTTTGCTGGAGAATATCGGGCGAGTCTTGTGGTTTTTGGGATTGGGATGACCGCAGTGGTGGTCGAGCGCTGGCGGCAGCGGCGGCGGCCGAGGCGTTGACGGCAGACTTACTGGCACGAGCCCCCATTTAAATTGGGAAATAAAAAAAGGAGGTGACCCTGGATAAATGATCAGGAAGGGTGTGATGGCGGCAGGTGGTGTGCGATCAGTGAAACGCGAGACAAAGGAGTGGCCCAGAGGGGGGAATGAGATAATAAAATAGAATTTACCGAAGAAAGGAGCGTGCGTCTATCGTGGTTGCTTACTCGCTCTCTCTTCTCCCTTACTCTCTCCTCTTTTGCCCCTCCCCCTCTCTCTCCCCCTAAAATTTATCACCACCCAAGATTACATGCAACGTCCGGATGCAGCACAACGAACTCGACTTAGACAGCATTCCACCAGCAATACCACCGCCAGCCTAAGCCCACAGAATCCCCACTCTGCTGATACTGGCACTGGCTCTGGCTCTGGCTCTGGCACGGGCACGCTAACAACATCGCCCGCCAACCCGCTCACTTCAACTCCGCTCCTCGCCTCCCACCTACCCATCCTACGAAACATCCTTCCTGCACCTCAAATACTACTGCCAGACGATGATGCTGATCACGTTCTACCCGTCGTGTATGCCGTCCTCGATCGTAATGGTAACCGCGCCATGTCCCTAAAGGAGCTCGGTGAAGTCGCGTTCTCCTCAAGCCTTCTCAAGACCAGGTGCGTGTCATTTATTCTGCTGTTATTTTTATTTTGGATCCTCTTTTGGGATCGATCATCGTTCTATGGCTGACATCTCGCTTTCACCCCCTCGCCGCCCCCGGCTCCCGGACGACTATTTTTTTTTTTTTCACTTGCACGCCATAGTCCCTCTGCCGCCCAACAATCCATCGGGACACACATACGCAATCATATGCAACGACACGCAGACAATCCTCAAAACGCACTATTATCCTACTACAAGCTCGAGGGTGGCTCTGATGATGTACGCGTGGGCGCAGCGCTCTTTCGCTTGTCCCCCAGAAGTGGCAGAAAAGGCACCATGGTCTGGTTTCTCTCGCGCGCGACGGGCAAACTCTGTCCGTTTGAACGCATAGGCGTCAATGTTCAGAATCATCCGATCGTCAGCTCACCTGTCACCACCAACACCAATACCACGACAACCCCCACCACGGCTACCGCCGCGGCTCTTATGCCTTCTACCGCGTCCGCGGCCACCATCCCAGCCCTCCTACCGCCCGTAGTCGCCTCTCTCAAGCGCAAAATCCCCCCAGACGATGTCGCGGACAGCCACCGTCCCACCAAGATCAGGATTACCCTGCGGCTGCCCCCCAGGACCCCTATCCCAAAGAGACCCCGGCCGATCGTCCCCGCCCAGTTCTACTCACAGCTCTCCCAGCACCCACTGGCGAGCTCGGATGAGGATAGCTCGAGCTCTGGCAACACAGATTCCTCGTCCGAAGAAGAAGACGACGATGACGACGATGATGAGGATATGATAGACGACTTTAACAGCCTAGTTGCCGACGACACTCCGATCGCCATCCCTTGCGCGCGCTCTGGACCCACCTTTTGCCTTAGCCGACCCTTTTACGATACGTGTGAACCCCCGCCGGATTCAGAGGATGAGGACGAGGATTTTCACAATTCGATGCTCCGACCAGAGCTAGAAGAGGACGAGGACCTTCAGCCCAAGGAAGAGGACTATTTCGACATCAAGGAGGAGGAGATTGCAGACTTTGTCCTCGATCTCGCTACTCCCGAGTCCCTTATCGCCGCCCAGCAGCCCGCCGTCGTCGTCGCGGTCAAGGTAGAAGACGGCGTGGACGTCACCTGCCAGCCCATGACAGCTCGTCCCGAGCTCGAGTGGTCTGCTCTCAAGCTCGACGAGAGCATGTTCAACCCCCTGGTGGACATGCTCGCCCGCACCGACAGCCCTGCTGCCTCTGCTGAGATTGAAGAGACAGGCACCTCGAGTGTGTCTCCAGCGCCTGGTCCTGGTGGGCGTGGCGGCTCGATCTCAGCCGAGAGCTCGCTAGCGCTTGCCGTCCCTCCCCCGACGCCGTGGATCAAGACGGAGGAAGAGTCTGCCATCCTGCTCGAGGACAAGCCCTCGTCGTCGATCTCACCTCATGGAGAAGACGTGATTGAAGACGACCCTTTTCCTATTGTCGACGATCACTTTGCGCCTGTGCAGAGTCCAATGGATACCTTGCCCGTCCACCAGCCACCCTGGGAACACGGGTGGGCAGCGTCGTCTTCTATCGGTGGCGGCCCTGAGAGTGTGACGACCGACGAGGTCGATCTCTTTGATTCGGATCCGCCACAACGCGATGGCATCCAAGCCAGCACCTCTGCCCCGCATTTCACCCCTCTCTCTCAGCCACAGCCCCGCGCGCGAAGACCGCTGCGTCTGTCGGTCAGTGGCCTCCATCCGTTCCACGATGGGATCCGTGGCCATCAATTGTCCGGGTCTTCTGCTGCTATGCGAGCCGGTCATGCTCGTCGGCATTCACATGCGGCAGGTATCACGACTTCGAACCACCGACGCATGTCCATCATTTCGAACGCGTTCTCGGATTGGGCGAGTGGAACCCCGGAAGATTCCGAGGCGCCGCTCACCACACCGTCTCACACGGCCTGGCGACACTACCAGTGGCCTGGTGCGAATGGGTCTAGTTCGACACTGGCTCATGAGCGAATTGAAGAAAAGAGTGTGGTGGATGAAGATGGAAGCCCGATGGAGGAAGAACCCAAGGCTGACTTGCAACGACAGTCCCCACCTCACCAAGCTCAGAAGCAGCAGCACCAGTCTTCGTCCGCACCGCCCAAGGTCGATAGTCCATTGTCCCTAAAGGACGAGCTCGATCAATTGCTCACCTCTACCACGTTTAACCAAGTCACGATCAGGGCTTTGCCTGCTGGCCATCGCATGTCGACCCTGGTCCTTCTCGGTATGTTTGCCACGGTTCAATTGAAATTTGCCACTCTTCTGACTATTACTATAGGCATTCCTGTCTTCCAGTATAGCGTCGAATATCCGCCGATCGAGTTGATTCGACGGATGGATACCGACTTTATCAACATCTCTTCCCTCATCATTTATGGTCGATTTGTAGCCCAGGCGGCCACTGGGCGATCTCGGGCCCAGAGCAATGCTGCTGCCCCGGCTTCTCAATCGACAATATTGCCTGCTCCTCCCACTGCCGACGAGCTCCCACCAAACCATATCATGAT